TGCCTGCACCACAACCCTGCCTGCACCACAACCCTGCCTGCACCACAGCCCTGCCTGCACCACAGCCCTGCCTGCACCGCTGCCCTGCCTGCACCGCTGCCCTGCCTGCACCACTGCCCTACCTGCGATGGTATAGTCTGCGTTGATGACCCTCATGGCAGGGGTGTAGGTCACAGCTGGCATGCTCGATTCCTTCCTCTTCTGCTTGTGTCTGTAGATGATGAACAAGGCCAGCAGGAAGAGCACAACAAGAACAAGGACCACGATGCCCGCGATAGCCCCGATCTGATAGGAATCAGCAGGAAGGGCGGTGCTGGTCCGGCTTAAGCTGTTCAGATTGCCCACGATGATGACCCCAGCTAGGAGAGGGTGGAAACAGACCGAATGTGGATGACTGTGGGCCAGATACAGGTTCTGTCTTTATTAAAACAAAAACCAAAACCACTCCCACTGGCCTAACACCTGGGTGTTTTCAGTCCACGACAGACGCTTATTTGGAAGCAGAGCATGGTAAAAACAGACACTCTGCACTTTCAAATGCCACTGGTGCCACATCCCTGCTCCAAGCCCTCAGGAGGCAGTGTATGAACCCTGAGAGTCAGGCACGGGCTCGAGAGCTACTCATCTATTTCAGATTGAACTCAGATTGGCAATTAAGCTTGAACAATAATGTTTCTAGTTTTTGTTTTGCTTGATGTATTCTCTAGTATTGATCTTACATAGGAATAAGTCATACACACCCACCTGAATAACTCAATCTCTTACTTACTCTTAGTATTTTAAAGAGCAATTTGCCTTCTAAACAAGCAGAGCTCTGACACAAACCTAGGCCAAGCCTCTTACTGCTAGATACACTGTCTCATGAAAAACTATTTTCAGCAGCAGAAAGATTTCTCTTGATAGTTCCTGGTAATAACACTTGTAACTTTACCCATCAAAGTCAAAACTTCCAGTGGAAGTCCCTCTCATAACCACCAGGAGAACATTCTCAAAGGGCCCTCTGCCCCCAGAGTGTCAGAACTGTCTAAATACGTCCATGAAAAATATATTTGACAAATAACTCCAAATGATTATAGTGAATACCCCAGTGAAAACAACACAGAACCCAAGTTAAAACAACACAGTCACTCAATGTGTCTGTTTTACAACTCAGTCACTCTCTTCTGGAGGGTTTAACCCAAACGAGATGAAATCATGTGTCACACTCATTGCTCACACAGCCTTAACAATGATGGCCAAACACTGAACACCATCCGGATGTCTACAGATTATGGTATGTCTATTCAAAGGAACACTACACAGCAGCAAAGAACTGAACTATTGATTTGTTTAAAAACATATTTTAGAATACTTACGGTAACTAATCAAAACCAAGTATAAGAATACAATATGGTTTCCCTACCTGGGCTGCCTTGTCTGACCTCAGTGGGTCAGAATGTGCCTAGTTCTGCAGTAACTTGATGTGCCACAGTGGGTTGATACCTGGAGCAGGGGCTCACACTTCTCAAAGGAGAAGGGGAGGAGGGGATGGGGAAGGGCTGCGTGAGAGGGGACTGGGAGGAGGGGCTTAGATTGGTATGTAAAGTGAATAAATAAATAAATTAATGAAAAACTACAAAACAATAAAATGTGATTCTCTTCACAGAAAATTCTAGAAAAAATGCAAACAGTAGCAGAAAGGTCAGGGGTGGCCGACAGTGTACGGAAGAAGTAGCAGAGACGGGCCATGTGGGAACAGGTAAGAGAGTGACAGATGGATATTATCTTTATTGGAATGATCGCTTCAGGGATTATGTACAGGTTTCAAGTTTCAGAAAATTATGTAAGGTAAGTGTGTGTGGTTTTATTTGCCAGTTATGTCTAAATAAATCTAAAAATATAGAAAGTTTGTGGATTTTAGAATACAAAAAGCTGTGATATTCATGTGACAGCTGTGTGGCTTTGGGGACGTTGTCTAACTGCTATAACCTTCAGCTGGTCTCTTTCTCTATTAAAGACAGTGAAAATAAGGTATCCATCCAGCAACCACATAATCAGCTAGCCTGTATGAATTTTAATTAGGTCTACTCATGTTGGCGAAAGTGAGAGTACTTAATACTGAGTGTGCATGGCAGCCACACACTAAGAAGCAGTCGTATTTACTAGTACTTTACCTTGGTCACACCGTGCCCCTTTCCATCCTGGGCTACAGTAACACGTGCCAGTGATGTGGTCACAGGTGGAGTTGTTCAGACAGTCACAGATCTGGCGACAGCCATAGCCGTACGTTCCTGCAGGGCATTCTGGAGAGGAAAGGAAGCCACTGTATTTCCCAAGTCTTGGGGAGACGAAGCTTGCCTTCTGTGTGTCCTGCATATCAGGTGGTAAGCCCTGTCCATGGGTTCCTGCTTAGACAGACTGCGGCCATCGGAGGTATGGGAAACTGGACTGTGGTACTTGAGCCATGGTAGGCTTCACAATCCTGCTGCTCAGGACTGAGTCAGTCAATATTATGGCTCAGCTCCTGATGCATGTGCCTGCTGAATACCCACGGCTCTGAGGTATGAGAGGGTCTGTGGGACTTCCCGTGGAACAAAAGAAAACATGAAAAGCAATTTGATGTGACCCCCTCAGTCACATATGTGGGTCAGAGAGAACTGGACCCAACAGTGTAAGCCTGAGATAATCCCTTCAGAACACACATTTTATGTAGGCTCTGGGATTCTTCCTATAGACATGTCCTCACTGAGATTAGCAGGAATTTGGGGCACTTTTGGTTATTTTCTAGGTAGGAGTTTCATTTGACATAGAATGATTCAAGTACAGGTTTGACATGTCAAGTTCTCAGAGACTAACATAGTACGAGTCTTATGATATGCTGTTAATCAGAAGAACCATGTATGGGGATAGAATTTAAATCTGAAGTTTCAACACAGATGTTGTTTCCAACGTGAGCAGCAGGGGGCGATGTGCTATCACTATCAGAGTCTGGCAAACCTTGCATTCCTGCTTATAAGGAGCATTGGGGACTTCAAAACCAGGGACACTTTAATTCCACATTTATATTCAGAGCTATCATGGCGGCACTTAAGAGTTTTTTCTTAATAAGACCTTAACTGGTTGCCTGGCAGTTGAATGCAAGTCGGTTTAGAGCCTGCCCTGAGCTCTAGGCCTAGGTTTAGCAGGCAGGCATAGAAAGCATTTATACACACAGAGATTGCTACCCACGAGACTCTGTGACTCAGTATATGTTTTATGATCACCTGCAAAGCAAACCTTGTGTTGTCTTTGTCTGGAACAGGCTCCGGGTGGCTCTTTGCTGCATTTGCAGAAAGAAGACTCTGCACAAACAAGCTATGTATCAGCACCTAAGGCCGAGACATTAAGCTTCACAGAGGCTGTAAAGTTGGGATGCATGGGCTGAATGGTGGCCACACTGTCTCTGTGCCCTGTCATCTTTACAATCACCTTCCTAAGAATACACTGGTGGTCAGTGGTGATCTCTCACTTTGCCTTGCCTCAGGGCTTTTAGCATCAGAGAGTGCCACACACAGCTTTGGCCTTTACTGTTTCATCTTCAGTGCTGAACAAAAGCCACAGAGGAAAAGCATAGTTTGCTCCTCTTATATAGTCGGCTAAGGCTAACGTAACGGTCTTGTAGCCTTGTGAGTGGATGCATACATAGCTCATGGGTGCTGAACCACAACAGAGATGGGTAATTCCTACAGCATAGTCTCCCAAGGACTGAAGAGAAGAGTGGAGAGGCAGTGTGTTGGACTGAAGAGTAATGCAGATGAAAAATTTGTTAGTGGGAAGAGTAAAAACCATTATCAAAAGGGTGCCAACATTGGCTTGGACTCATTTCCACACCCGCTCCTGAGGCTGGCCTCAGACTTCTCCTTAACCATGTCTGTCCTCTGATGTAAGTCTGGACTCATTGCTGCCATGAAGGGAGACTGGTCATGTCTGTTTAGCCTCTGAGAAGCCATATTCCAAAAATAAGAGAGGGAGAGAAAACCAGGAAAAACATAATAAAAAAGTTGAATTTGACTTCATTCTTACAGTCTTGCCCAATCTATCCAGAGTGCCAGGTGGATTTCCACTCAGAACTCAGAGGAAAGACTGACAATAAGGATTCTAGCAGGACGGTCTTGAGAACAGAAAAACAACTGTGCTGGTAATTAACCATCGCTCACATGACTCAAACTACAGTCAGACAGCCTTAGCAACTCTGGGCTTGAGGAAGGTGATCCAGATGCCCAGTGATGATGTGTCATGTACTCACTCTGTTCACAGTGCCGTCCCATGAATCCCGTGCGGCAGGTACACTGCCCTGAGATGTGGTCACAGTCAGCTCCATTTTGACATTGGCATATCAGTGCACAGTCCTTGCCATAGAAGCCCAGAGGGCATCCTGTGTAAGGACAGAGGACAGTGGAAGTCAGAAGGCTACCTAGGAGAAACAGGGCTCCTGCCTGCATTCACTAGTGATGAACTTGAAGGCCTTTGAAGACTGTTCAAGAGTAAAGGTGTTCCCACACATCCCTGGACTGAAGTGACTACTTTGTGTTTATATAATTTGTACCTTTTTACCTTTAGTACAAAATGACTCAAATTTGTCTATTAGTCCTGTCTACTGTATCCATTTTTAACTTAAATTGTATTATCCCTATTATCAAATATATGAGGTATGGGATAGAACCCTTAAGGCTAGACCAACTGTGTTTCTTAGGGGATTTAGAAAGTACTTTATGTCTTCACACTGCTACATGGCTTCCAAGGCTTACATCACCAGGAGCCTGGAGCAGAGCATGCATACACACACACACACACACACACACACACACACACACACACACACACA